ACTTGGAGGTAACATTTTTGACTTCATAACTCATTTTTATGTGATTAAAGGTCTAATTAGTGCTGAAAAATTAGGGAAAATCAATGCAAAATGGGTAATTAGGGCTTGAGATTAATAGACCTTAAAATGGGTATTTGAGGGGCCAATTGAACTTCGATTTCAGTGTTTTTGATATGTATAGACTCGTGAGAGTACAAGGATTCCAAAAATGTAAATTTTAGCGATTCCGAGACGTGGGCCAGAGGGGCATTTTTGTCATCTTACCTAATTTCGCGTATTAGCTTAGAATTTATTTGTAGAATTAGTTACTTGAAGTGTTATTTACATTATGTAATTGAATTGAATAGATTTGGGCCATTTGGAGTTGAGTACTCGTGGCAAAAACGTGGTTTCAGGTTGATTTTGAGCCGGTTCGACATAAGTGGCTTGCCTAACCTTGTGTGGAGGACATTCCCCTTAGGATTAGTATGGTGATAGTTGAAATGCCTTGTACGTGAGGTAACGAGTGCGCACTTGTGCTAATTGTTGAAAATTCTATTTTCACTAAAGTAGCTTTAATTGTGTTTTTCCTTTCCTGCCTACATTACTTGAAATTTAAGCCTGTTGTTAGCATAGAGAAGCATGTTTAATTGACTTAACTACTTTATTTGCTTAAACTGCCTTAATTGTATTATGTGAAGCATGCTAGGTTAGAATTACCCGTTTTACCTTAGTATAAAGTTGAGCTTAATTGAGTATTCTTTGTGTGATTGCCTGTGTACTCTACTTTGGGACTACGGGATGGCATCCCGAGAGATCCCCAACACGCATATTGAGGATACCAAGAGATCCTCGGGATACCAAGAGATCCCTAGCATATATTGAGGATACTAAGAAATCCTCGAGATACCAAGAGATCCCTAGCATATATTGAGGATACCGAGAGATCCTTAGGATACCAAGAGATCCCTGGCATATATTGAGGGTACTAAGAGGTCCTCGGGATACTGAGAGATCCGCGGTTATTATCTTGTAAAGAGTGATATTCCTTGTATTGTTTTGCCTCTGTTTCAGTTGTTGTTATCCTTGTTATCCTGTATTTAATTCTTATTATTATCTTTCAACTGTACTGCTTTATCTTATGCTGTCATACCTTATTTTTTATTTAATCTCAGTATGGTCCTAACCTTCCTCGTCATTACCTGACCGAGGTTAGGCTTGACACTTACTGAGTACCGTTGTGGTGTACTCATGCCCTTTCTGTACATATTTTTCATGTGCAGATCCAGGTACCTCTACTCAGACTTATCACGCTTAAGACGAGGCGCTTGTAGAGACTCTGAGGTATATCTGCCGCGTCCGCAGATTGAAGAGTCCCTTTCTACTCTCCCTTTTAAGTATTAGCCCTTCTGTATTTTCTTTCCTTTGTTAGATATTCTGGAATTAGATACTTGTAGACATTCAAAGGCTTGTGATCATGAGATTCTGGGTTTTGGGAAATGTATTTAGTTTTCGAGAGTTGATATTGTGTATGCCGAGCGGCATTTTTAAACACTGTTTTATTTTACTACAACAACAACAACAACAACGACGACCCAGTATAATCCCACAAGTGGGGTCTGGGGAGGGTAATATGTACACAAACCTTACCCCTACCCCGAAGGGTAGAGAGGCTGTTTCTAGGAGACCCTCGGCTCAAAAAAGCAACAGGAGACGATATATTAGTACCATAAAAATGCATAATAAAATAACAGCAATATAGGAGATATGAAATACAGAATACGAAATACGAAATAGATGGCTGGTATAGTAAAAACTAGCAGGTAAAGCCCTGCATCAATAGACGACCAATGACATTCTTAGTCTAACTCCTAACTGGCTAGTCTCACTCTACTGTTTTATTTTACTATTTGTATTTTTATTATTTCTTTCGCAAATTGGTTTATTTTCCGCATTGTTAGGCTTACCTAGTCGTAGAGACTAGGTGTCGTCACGATGATTCACAGAGGGTGAACCGGGGTCGTGATACTACCACTTGAGAAAGAATTCTCTCCCTCTCTCTAGAATTGTTCTCTCTCTAGTATATTATTATAAGTTTTTAACTTGTAATATCTATTTTTCAGTTTCAATAACAATCAAGTTTATATTTATTTTATCCTTGCTCAAGTTTACATTTATATTACTCTGCATTATGATTGGTTAAGTCACCTAATTTAATTTATCGCATTTTATTTATACCGGAATCGAAACCCCTAAAGATTAGGGAATAAATAAATAAATATAAGGACATGAAGCAGTTAGAGTGCAGATAAATAAATTAGGCTGCAGAGCCGACCATATAAATAAAATGCCATAAAGTAAATTAGGTGGCTTATCCAACCATAATAAAGAGTAACATAAATATAAACTTGAGCAATAGTTGAAATAAATATAAACTTGATAGTTATTGAAACTGAAAATTTGATATTACAGGTTAAAATCTTATAATAATATATTAGAGGAAGAGCTCCAACCAACTTTAGAGAGAGCGAGAGAATTCTTTCTCAAGTGGTAGTGTAATGTAGTATGTTTTACTTTTACAAGTGATAGAGGAGGCTATTTATAGCCAAAAACTAAAAATTACTTAGTATTTTTTATGTTATTCATGATGTCATTAGGAGTAAGTGCTAACTGATGTCATGGATGATGTCATCTGTAATGTTATTGTATTGTCATGCTGATTTATTTTCTGATTAATTTCTAAGAACATTAAATCAGGGTCTTCTTCTTCTGATGATGATGATTTTTCATATGTAAATGCTTGATTTTGTTGATATAGAATTTATGTCTCGAAGGAATCAAGAATTTTCTCCATCTACTGAATAAAATCAAGTCTGCTGCTAGAACCGATAAGTTGTGAAGCTGTAATTGATTTTTGTTGTAAAAATAAAATTTGCACAACATCTGTTATAGCTAGATACCGTGGATGAGACAAAAACTACTTGTCTACTGCTGACACATAGGCTTCGGATGAATCCCACATTTTACACCACTTGCAGTGGCCTTGGAGGGCTAACCATGGTAGTCCTTTATGTCCTTCTGGCTTGTGAATGAGTATATCCACGGGATATAAAATCTGTGGGAAAATTGGAGAAGTATGAGTATTTATTGCTCACTGAAAAACCTGTGGCAAGAACAAAATGCGAGTAATATATATATATATTAAGGTACGCGCTTTGCGCGTGTTTTTCATGTCAATGAGTAAATAGTTTTTTTAAAAAAATCAAACAAGTATTGAATAATGTATTTGAATTATAAAATAAAAATAAATTATATATTAAGTGTTGTAACCTCTGAGGATTTTTTTTACTCGTCTAGAATATATTTTACAATTGTTGAGTAACTTTTACTCATTTAAAATATATTTCAATTTATATTGTGTATGATTTTTTAAGGTTGAAATAATTAGTGACTTTTAATTGATTTTAAAGCTCTAATATTAAAAATATTAACTTTAAAGATATTATACTAAAAATAGACTGCACTTTAATGGCATAAGTATATTTTTCAAGAAATTTTATTGTATACGGTAGAAATCGAGACTACCCGTTTTCGTGGGCTCGAAGATTATGTTAAGAGCGAGATCGAAATAGATCAGGAGTGGGCCCGATGGGAGGCTTCGAAGGTCAAAGTGTCTGATGAATATCGAGGCCGAACGTGACCGGCCTCGAGATAATGCAGTTGTAGTTTTGTAACAGAAAGAGTAAGATTCACGCCACATCTCCAAGATCATGGCGTAAATTCCGAGATAAATTTGTACGAGTTAATACGAATCCGTACTAGACGGTTAGACATCTGTCCCAATAAGATTCCTTACTGTAAATAGAAATGTACCTTATTTAGGGTTCCCCTACTATATAAAGGGGACCTAAATCATTTGTAAAGATCATCTAATCATTGGAAAAAAAATATACTCTCTACTTCACGCTCTTTGTTCATCAAAATTATCCTTTAGCTTTATTATTCTTGCTTTATTGTTCTTGACCAATCTCGAGGTCACTTGGGCTTGAGGTCGAGACTGACACATTTGCTGGTCTGGTCTTACTTATTCCTTTCATCTATACTTCAGATTTCTTGATTATTAATTAGTATTAAACTAAACTACGTATCTTTAAACCCACAAATCAAATTTAATTGTTACTCGTATTTTCGCGGTAAACATTTATATACATGTTAGACATTGTGTCCCAACATTTATATACTTTTGGAAAAATTGTTAAGAATAATACAACGAAAAATTGAAACCTTCGAGTCACAATGTCAACATTTTATACGTGCCTAAATATTAGGATCTCTTACCTAGTTTAATAAGGAAAGATTTAATAACAAAAATTTTATTTTATTTTAAAGTTTTAAATATTAGGAAAGTAATACAAATTACAATTATATCCAATATGAAATATATTTTTAAGGGGTAAAAAATGCGAATGACATTTCGCAAAGAGGCTTCGTGCTTTTAATATAGTACTAGTCACTATGTACGTGCTTCGCACGTAATAATAGAATACGCGCAATAATTAACGCATATGTGAGATATGTGAATATACTTGTTACCACATTTTTGCTACTGTTCTTCATATATAACTAATTGTTTTTCAATTATGTCCGTCCTTGTAAGAATTAACTTGAAAGATAAAAGGGTATAATAAGTCTTGTAATTATAGGTTAGATAAATAGAATATGAGCAAATGCTAGAGAGTTACTTTATAAAGTTTAAACCTATTTTAATTATATTTCTGTTACAGTTTTGGAAATGTCTCCTTCTATAAAAGTTTCTTTCGAAAATTGAAATTGCTCATTCTTTTTTCTAACTGTTCTTGCGAATGCTTCTTTTAGTTTTGGTTCCACCAAAGCTTTTCCACCCGACTTCTGTTGGATAATTATAATTCTGCTAACTAATAAGAGGGACTTAGTACACACCTGGACGACATATTGTCTTTTTGTTTAATATTATTTTTTCCGGGGGCTTCATTTGGATTATATCGACCACTTTGGGAAAACTTTACTTTGCCTTTTGTTTCTCACTCTTTTTGTTCTTATCGGTACCAGACATACACGTTTTTGAGAAACTTGGCAGATGCAAGTTCTCAGTATCAATAGGTTAACACCCTTATTGCAAACTCAGTATCACCGATATAAGAAAAGCTCCACCGTCTGCCCATTTTTTTTGTTTTCCTGTCAGGTTTCTCTGAAGAACACAACCTTTGCTAATCAGAGGTTATAGTGTTTGCTACTTTTAGAAGCTTATTTCGAATTTCCGATTTATTTCAAGGTAATTATTTTATAGGATTATTTTGTTTCATCAATGGTATTTTGTATGCTATTTTGATTTTCCCCGCCGTTACCAAATCGGTAAAAAGGTTTCAATGGTTTTATTTTGCTAATTACATTTGCCCTTTAGTAAGAAGAGAGTCTTCCTGATCTTATCTTTGTACTTTCGTGATTTTTCCCTTTTGATCGTTGTTGCTTGTGAGTTTTCTTCTTCTCATCTTGTGTTCCTCTTTGATGGCATGCTAGGGCTTTGTTACACAGAAAGTTCAATTAGTCTATCGACTTTGCTCTTTAGGTGTTTGAGGCAATTCTTGAATGAATTAAGCCTTTTTCTACATTTCTACTATTGTTTTGGTTTAATCTTTCAACTGTGAAATGGTTGGGAAAACATATGACGAAATATTAAACTCTGCCTTTGCTTTCAATTAGAGAGTATGAATTGAACTAAACCATCTATTCCTTGTGTCTTTTTCTCAAAAAGATGAGAAATTTCAATACTAAGTTTGCGATAACCTCTTTAATTGTTTGTTTTTCTCACTTGGTCTTCATGAGCGAGACTTTGAAACTTAAAGTAACATCTGCATGTAGAGTTACCACCTCATTTTCGATGAAATTATGTATAAATAGAGCCATTTATTTTTCCTTCACATTGATAAGCTGGTGAGTGTATAAACGTGGCCAGATGTTCTAAAGTTCTTGCTATTTCACTTATGTAGAAAAGGATGTTTAAAACGAGGAGAAGAAGATTCTATTTTAGCAGTAGAAGCTACTAAATACGTATTTGGTTCTGGTAGTATCTTAATTTCTTGATATAAGACATAAAAAGGGAAAAACTAATTTCTCATGATACATTCTTCCTGCTTTCCTATAGATTACATGCATATACTTATTTTATGTAGTGAGATCCTTTCTTACTTTCAGTTTTCTTCACAACATTTACGAATAAGAAGTGCTTAGACATATAAACGCAAAGTCTTAAGTTGGATTCTTTTCTGAATTAAAGAAAAAATTATAGATATAAAATTTGCTAGCTGGACTCAATATTTAAAGGGCACAACATTAACCATAATTCTATAGCTATAGCTTCTATTGAACGATCTTTTTATCACCACAGCCAATTTCTTTCTTTTGATAAGTAATGTTACAGCCATAAATACTCGGAAAAAGTTTTAAAAAATTAAAGCTCTAAACTTACCAAATTAAGCTGAAATCTAACAAACAGGTTGTAAACAAACAAAAAAATAAAAATAAAATCTAACAAACAAGTTATAATGGTTACGTTGTTGTACTTCACTCTTTTTCACAGTACTAAGTACCAAAGAATCTTTAATACATAGCTCAAGTTATAGAAGGTCATATAGTTCTGAAGAGAAGTTTAGATGAAATAGAAAACATCAATCGACAAGAATTTGAACTCATATTGTAACTTGTATGTGAGCTTCTTATAAGACCAACTGAAGGATCAATTATGTATTATTTAATGACACATTTTAATTTGCCTACCCAGCTCTGAACGAAAAAGAGCTAGCAAGATTCCAAAAGGATATCCTGATTTGAGAGCCAAATATTCATTGGAAGTAAGTAGTGTGCTGCTGTCCTTGCTCTTCCCGTTCTTATCTGTACACTTTGGTGAATTTTTTTGTTTGGATCATTGCTTTCTTGTAAGCTTTCTTCTCATCTTCTGTTTTACTGATGCATCTTTTATGGCATGCTAATGCTCTGCGCACAGAAAGTTTAATATGTCGGTAGCTTTTGTTCTTTATGTGCTTGAGAAAATTCTTGAGTGAATCAGTCTTCTCATTGACGGTAATTTTAATTCTGGATAAGCGGTGGGCGGTGACACATTTTTATGCTATTCCATATGGTCCTTTTGAATATTCCATGAAAACATTAGGCTGAAAATATCTACAGATAAAAAAGAAGTTGAAATTGCATAGCTGATGGATTCCAAAGAACCAAACAACTGCTTTTACGCAGAAAAAAGAAAGGCTGCAATGCAACTCAGAATACGCAAAGCCTGAAGTTATTATTCCCGGGACCTTACCTCAACGTAGTACATTCAAATTTGCATTATATCAATGATAAAGTTAGTTGCCTCTGTTATATAGTTGCGATAGTTTCTGTTTCATAATCTGTAGTCATTAATCAGGACAGTGGGAAGTTGGATCCTAAAATCTGCGAGGAACACTTGGAACATGCCAAAAATAATTTTCCAGTATGTAAATGTCGATTTGATGTGTTGGATGTTGGCCTTTTCAATTACTGTAAGGTACCGTGATAGCGCTAATTTTATTTAACTTTTTGTTAGTGCTCCTGCCGTGAATTGGAAAACCAGCTAAGATCATTTTTGTACTTGTCGCTCATTCTTTTCCATAAGCTTAAAATACAAAAGGATGCACAAGATTTTAACATTCTATAATCAGAAGCAACAAGAAGTTAGTTGTTGCTGAAAATAGAGGTCTACATAACCCTTCTCCTTTAGTTTTCAATTCTATATGGAACGCTCAATAAGGAAAGCAAAGAACAGACAAGTTCAATTACCCTGCATTTCTGGCATTCAAAGGCCAAAAAATGATGAGGATATTGCAAAATGCTTCAGTAAGTCCTATCATATTTGACCAAGGTTGAAACATTATTACCAAGCTGAAACCGCGTCTTTATTTAAAATTCAATTTTTTTAAAGTATTCAGAATGAACTGAAGTTACGTAGCAATTGGTAGATGACATGCTAAGCTAAACTATTGTAAGCTGTGGAAAAGAAGAATATAATTAGGTATTATCTCTTTGAATAGGTTGAATATAATTAGCTTCTTAATAATTTTATAAAACAGGATCCAATTATTCGGAGCAGCTTGCTATTAACATACACAACAGGCTACGTAGCATTGCAGGTATTCTATATGTTTCAAATAATTGTTATTGTGGCCAACAGCTATTAGATGGTCCAAGGACTGTTAGATCTTGTTTTATGATGCAAATAATATACATGTGCAGGAAATCAATTACAAGAAGTAAAAAAGACTGCTGGAGTGGTTCATGGTGTATAAGGAAATAAATCAATTAGCATACAATCGGCAAATCTAGAAAGGTCTCGCAAATCTGGGCGGAATCTAATCAACAAATCAATCAGCAATAACAACGATTAGCTGAGTTGGAAAGAATTAAATAAGCCTTGAGTAAAGGCACAAATCAAGGGCAGAATCACAGAAGATTGAAGGATACGAGGAAATTTGGTACGCGACCGCATTTGGAAGAACCAACAATCAAGGAGCAATCTTCATTTGTATCTCTGCTGAAGGAAAGCAATTACGAGAAGCAACAACTCATTCCTTATTCTTGGAAAGAATCAATTCTTTCCAGAGATCAAATCTCTTGGGTTGTCAAGCCTCTACCATCCATCAAAGTATTTATACCTCGTTGTAAACCCTAGTGTTTATACTTTGATCAAACCAAAATTACTCTCTTTATTCTACTGCAAACAAGCATTGTAGTTCACTAGGATCTGCTGTGTAACAAGCCAGGGAAAGAAAGAGAGCATAACACTGGTGAGACATTGTATCAAAAACGAGTGCTAGAGAAACCGAGTGAAATTCACTATAACTGTACTCGGAAGAAACTCATTTACTAAAGAGAACTCCCTTGCAACCCAAGGGGACTGAACTAGGATTCACATTGAATCCGAACCAGTATAAAAATTCTGGTGTCTTTAATTCCTGCAACTACTTTCTGCAGTTTACTTCCTATTATTATATCTGTCAATTTATCATATCTAGTCGACTACTCAAGTAATAAGTCAACTAATAAGCAATTATTTTTAAAAGAGTTATAATTCACCCCCTCTTGTACTTTCAATTGGTATCATAGCCAGGTTCACATTTTACTTTTGCTTAACAGCTTGTGAGAAAAGATCATGGCAAATCAGGTTATCATAGGAGCTCTTTTTCAGGAAAGAACTTCACAAGTTAGACCACCATACTTCAATGGACAACATTTCTCTCACTGGAAAGTACGAATGGAAATCTTTGCTAAAGCTTACGATGTCAAAGTCTGGAGAGTCATCAAAAAGGGAAACTATCCCCTACCGGCTAGCACTCCACCACTTGTTGATCCTGATGATATAGATTCATACTCAAAAGAGCAACTGGAAGTGGTACAAGTGAATAACAAGGCAAGAAACCTGCTTCATAATGCTATAAGTGGTGAAGAATACGAGAAAATATCGAGTTGTGACACAGCCAAAGAGATGTGGGACAAACTTGAGGTCACNTACTTCAATGGACAACATTTCTCTCACTGGAAAGTACGAATGGAAATCTTTGCTAAAGCTTACGATGTCAAAGTCTGGAGAGTCATCAAAAAGGGAAACTATCCCCTACCGGCTAGCACTCCACCACTTGTTGATCCTGATGATATAGATTCATACTCAAAAGAGCAACTGGAAGCGGTACAAGTGAATAACAAGGCAAGAAACCTGCTTCATAATGCTATAAGTGGTGAAGAATACGAGAAAATATCGAGTTGTGACACAGCCAAAGAGATGTGGGACAAACATGAGGTCACCTATGAGGAAACCAACAAAGTAAAGGAAACACACATCAACATGCTAGTTCATGATTATGAACTATTCTCAATGAAAAAAGGAGAATTCATTGAAGAGATGTTTGCCAGGTTTAGCAAAATATTTAACAACTTAAAGGCATTTGGCAAACCCTACACCAGTGGTGATCAAGTAAGAAAAATTCTCAGAAGTCTGCCAATCACTTGGCAGACCAAAGTAGTCACACTGGAATCTCAAAACCTAAACAAATTATCCTATGATGAACTACAAGGAGAACTCATTGCTTTTGAAAGAACGCATCTGAAAAAGACAAATCAAGAAGAGAAAAAGAAAATAGTTGCGTTCAAAACCTCTACTGAAATGGTTGAAAATGAAATTGATGATCTTGAAGCTCTACAAGAAGAGATTGCTATGATGTCTAGAAATATGGATGGACTGATGAGAAGATACAGAAACACAAAGAAAGGAAGATACCCACCAAGACGATCCAGACAATACAACGAACAGGACAAGAACGATGGAAAATGCTACGAATGTGAAAAAATTGGGCATATTCAAGCTGAATGCCCAGAATTGAAAAGGAAGATCTCTAGAGGCTTCAACAAGAACAAATCTTTCGGAAGCTGGAGCGATGAGGATGACTCTGGCCATGAAGAAATAGCAAATCTTTGCTTCATGACAATTCTGGAAAATGAAATAAACAAAACTTCAGGATGCTGGACAAATGAAGACGATTCAGATGATGAGAATGAGAATTGTTTCATGGCACGAGGTGAAACTAGTGAGGTACGATCTTATGACTGTGAAAGATGTAATGAATTACAGGATATTCTTGATTCAACCTTGAAAGAGTCTCAAAAAATGATGAATGAGCTTAAAAGACATACTAGGGAGGTTAAAGACTGGAAACTCAAACATGAAGTATGTGAAATTAAAAAGGAAGTACTTTAGGAAGAGTTTGAGGGTTTGCAAATGCAGCTCAACAGCTTGCGCAAATCCACCAGTCATAGTTCTGTTAGGTCAAACCAGACGACTTACAAGTCAACTGGAAAGGAACCAACCAAAACTAAGTCAACCAGTCGGTCAGACCGGGTGACTTACAAGTCAACTAGGAAAGAATCAGCTAGAACTAAGTCAGCTAGTTCAAACACTTATGAAAGACCTATAAGCAGGTCTGAAGCTACATGTCATTACTGTAATAAAAATGGGCATAAATATTCCTTTTGTTATTTTCGTAAATCAAATGTATCAGGATGGGTTTGGAAACCAAAAAATTCTAAACCTAGTACTACTAACCCTCCAGGACCCAGGCAAACTTGGGTACCTAAAAGAAAGTAATCATCTTGTCTTGCAGGAACACCACAGAGTAAGCCGCAAAGGAAAATGGTATCTACATAGTGCGTGTTCCAGTCATATGACAGGAGACAAAAACCTGTTCAAAAAAGTTACAAAAATCGATGGAGGAAGTGTTAAATTTGGAGACGATTCAAGGGGCAAAATAGTCGGTACTGGAACAATTCCCTTCAATAACAATTGTGACATTACTGAAGTTTATCTCGTCGATGGACTAAACTACAATCTCTTGAGCATAAGTCAACTCTGCGACTCTGGATATGAGGTAAAGTTTAAGAAAACAGGTTGTGCTATTGAAGACGAATCAGGTAAGATAATTCTTCCTGGAAAAAGGTATGGAAATGTTTATATACTTGATGGTTTTGAAAAGATAGATGGCCATATTTGCTTATCTTCTATGTCTGATGATCCATGGTTATGGCATAGGAGACTAAGTCATGCTAGCATGCATTTGATTGAAAATTTGTCCAAACATGATTTAGTTGTTGGTTTGCCTAAATTGAATTTTTCTAGAACTCATATTTGTGATGCATGTCAAATGGGTAAACATACCAGAAATTAATAAAGATATAGTATCTACTTCAAAACCTTTGCAATTACTTCATATGGACTTATTTCCTACTAGAACTGCTAGTATAGGAGGAAAGAGGTATGAATTTGTTATTGTTGATGATTTTTCACGTTTCACTTGGGTAATCTTCTTGTCTCATAAGGATAGAGCTTTAAGAAATTTTGAAGTTTTCTGTAAAAGGGTTGAAAGAGAAAGGGGACATCTGATCTCAAAAATTCAGAGTGACCATGGAGGAGAATTTGAAAGCAAAGCTTTTGAAGACTTCTGTAACGATCAAGGATACACTCATAATTTCTCTGAACCACGCTCACCACAACAAAATGGGGTTGTGGAAAGAAAGAACAAAACTCTCCAAGATATGGCAAGAACCATGCTACTAGAACATTCATTGCCAAACCACTTCTGGGCAGAAGGTGTAAGTACTGCTTGTCACATCCTCAACCGTTGCCTCATAAGGCCAATTCTGAAGAAGACACCATATGAACTTTGGAAAGGTAAACATCCGAATATCAGTTACTTCCATCACTTTGGAAGCACATGTTTCATTCACAATAACGGTAAGGATAATCTTGGAAAGTTTGATCCAAGAATTGACGAAGGTATTTTTCTTGGTTATTCATTAAATAGCAGATCTTTTAGAGTCTATAATAAACGTACTTTATGTGTAGAAGAATCTGTACATGTTATATTCGATGAAAATAATCCCTTGGTCGAGAAAGGAACTACTGCAGGTGATGAAGATCAAACTCAAGAAGCTCAGGATAAAGGAAAATCACAAGAGTCGACTAATACATCTAGGGTGATCGAGTCAACCGGTGAAAATAGCAGAAATATTTCAGATCCACAAATCGAGTCGACTACAAATGCAATTCGACCAAATGAATAGAGAAGCGAACCCAATATCCTCAGAAATTTATTATAGGAGATCCAAACGAAGGAATGAAAACCAGGCTGCTCTCAAGAAGAAAGCAAACATTGCATTGATTTCTCAAATTGAGCCAAAAAAGATAGAGGAAGCACTAAAAGATTCAAGCTGGGTGCAAGCCATGCAAGAGGAATTAGATCAGTTCAGCAAGAATCAAGTGTGGAAACTAATACCCAAACTTGATAATGTGTCTGTAATCGGAACAAAGTGAGTATTTAGAAACAATTGAACGAGGATGGAAAGGTCATAAGAAATAAAGCTAGACTAGTTGTTCAGGCTATTCACAGCAAGAAGGAGTCGACTATGATGAGACTTTCGCCCCAGTAGCTCGTTTGGAGTCCATACGGATTCTTCTGGCATATGCATCTTTTAAAGGTTTTAGGCTGTTTCAAATGGATGTTAAAAGCGCCTTTTTAAATGGATTTATCGAGGAAGAAGTTTTTGTGAAACAACCTCCAGGCTTTGAGGACTCAAAATTTCCATACCATGTATACAAGCTTACTAAAGCACTGTATGGGTTGAAACAAGCTCCACGTGCCTGGTATGATAAGTTGAGTACCTTTCTTATTGATCATGGCTTTACAAGAGGTAAAATAGGCACTACTTTATTTATCAAACGATCATCAGAAGGTAACCTCATTATTCAAATTTATGTTGATGATATTATATTTGGTAGTGCTAACCCTCTTATGTGCAAGGAATTTTCAAATCTTATGCAAAGCGAATTTGAAATGAGCATGATGGGTGAGCTCACGTTCTTCCTTGGGCTACAAATTTAACAATCCGAAGAAGGAACTTTTATATGTCAGACCAAATATACAAAAGAGCTGATTCAAAAATTTGGTATGAACAATGCAAAATCAATTGGAAATCCAATGAGCCCCACTATAAATCTAGACAAAGATGAACAGGGCACCCCTGTTGATGAAACCAAATATAGGGGAATGATTGGATCACTGCTATATCTGACAGCAAGTCGACCAGATATTATGTTCAGCGTATGTAAATGTGCCAGGTTTCAGTCAGCTCTCAAGGAGTCACATTTGACTATTGTAAATAGAATTATTCGATATCTCATTGGAACTGTATCTTATGGATTGTGGTATCCTCGCTCTAACTCTTTTAAACTAGAAGGTTTTTCAGATGCTGATCTTGTAGGTGATAAAGAAGATAGAAAAAGCACAAGCGGCACATGTCAATTACTAGGAAAGGCTTTAATATCCTAGAACAGTAAAAAGAAAGCATCAGTCGC